AAGTGTGGAAGCTTCAGTGTCTTAGATGGAGAAAAGAGTTTGTTAAATATGTGTGTCTTTCCTGTCCTCCTTCTCTTTGTCCCCCTTCCACCTTCATCTTTAAATGGTCTTCAAGTTGGCTTTGCTTAGTCAGGACTTTTGCCAAGCTTTCTTTAAATTGGCATTACCTTCCACCAATTCCATTTTTGTAAGGAAATAACGGCTTTAAATTTTCCACCATTCTTTTGTATGAATTTATAAATTAATTTATATTCAGAATTTGCATTGCACTTTGCTGCCATATCCTTACACTCAACAAGTGAGCCAACTTTTTATTGACAGGTGGATTTTAGTTTCATTTTGGTCTCCTTGTTAGGGGAATTGATTTATATCATTTAAATTATTTTAATATATTGATGTCCTTTCAGATCTCATTTTTTAAAATATAAATAACTTGTTGAAATAGATCAGTTTAGAATTTTTTAATTGAATATCACATCCTTTTCTCATTTTTATTCTTTCTACGTTGTATTAATCATGCTCCTTGGTCTAACAAGTTGGTGGAATACAGCTGATTCATGATAAACTCACATCAATAACAAGTCACTTCCTTGTTAAAATACAATCAGTTTTTTGTGTTGTTCAATGATTGTTAAGTCTGTTATTTTCTGATCATTTTCTTGGAAGTGTTCATAATGTATAGACATGAAGCAGTCTTTGGCCTGCCTCATTCCTTACTCCTTATCCACATTTTCTAACTTTTTGCCATTCTCACCCATTGCCCTGTTTATATTAAAGTCCCTGAGTATCAAAGTATATGCTGATCTAATCTGGAGGGTCTTATTAATTCTTTGTAGAGTCTTCTCTACCTCAGTGGATAGAGCTCCAGCCTTGGAGTCAGGAGGACATAACTTACAGCCTTGGAAAGTTATGAGGGCTCGAGGTACCTCACTTCAGCCATAGTCACACAGCGTGTAAATGGCAGAGGTGGGGTGTGGCCCCAGCTTCCTGACTCTGAGGCCAGCTCATTCCTATGACAGGTTGCCTCTCAGCATCTTTGAATAAATGAATTATTTTCACAGTGATCTTTCTGCAAATACTTACTGTGAGCACTGCAAATCTGAAATGACAAAATGTTTCATGTGGTCCTGGAGCCCATGATAAAAAACAATTTTTCAAACTCTTCTTTGCCCGCTACGAAGAACCTGTGAGCTGTCCTCCTGTTTAGCCACGACCTCTTTCTGTCTTCTGGTTTCATTTTTTGCAAGAATATCAAGAGTCATACGGTTCAGCTCCTCCAGTAGTATGTTCACTTGGTTACTGGTTGAGGATCTCACATTTAGTGTAACAACTGGTAAGTTAATATTTGTGGACAATTTTTATGAAAACCTATAACCCCTGGCACCCATTGCCCCCACTTCTACCACTCTGCTACTTCCAGGGCAGATATTTTCCCATCTGTAAAGTAAGGGAAGTGGACTCGATGACTCTAAGGTCCACTCCCCCTTTAAAATCTACGGTGCTTTAAGTGAATGGTTGTTACACAAGACACAAGGCTGTTTTGTATTTTCCTTTGTTTCATGCATTGCTATGGCCAAATAATTCATCTCCAAGTTGTCAGCTTACTGCTAGTGAGCCTCCATGATTAGCCAGGCTGGTCTTTGGAAAGCAAACACAGTCTCTTGACTGAGCCACATTCCCAGTCTTTTCAGCATCGTAGAACTTCATTGTTGTTGTTCAGTTGTTTCAGTTGTATCTGACTCTTTCTGACCCCATTTGGGATTTTTCTTTTTCTTTTTTTTGCTTTTAGGCAATTGGGGTTAAGTGACTTGCCCAGGGTCACACAGCTAGTAAGTGTCAAGTGTTTGGTCTGAGGCAGGATTTGAACTCAGGTCCTCCTGACTTCAGGGCCGGTGCTCTATCCACTGCGCCACCTAGCTGCCCCCATTTGGGATTTCGTTAACAAAGATACTGGGTCATTTCCTTCTCTGGGCTGTTTTACAGATGAGGAAACCGAGGCAAACGGTTAAGTGACTCGCCCAGGGTCACACAGCTAATAAATGTCTGAAACTGGATTTGAACTCGGAAGATGAGTCTTCTTGACTGTAGGCCTGGCAATCTATCCACTGTACCACCCTACCCTTTCCTAACACAGCCTGTAAGAACCCAGGATCACCTACGCATATGCCAGAATGAGGTATCAGAGGACAACTTTATGGAGTGAGTCTGTGGATTCTTCCTGATAATTTCTATAGAACTTTATAATTTACAAAGTATTTTCCTACTGCTGGTCTCATTTGGTCATCACTTTGTAAAGTAGTCAGGGCTGGTAAATATTACGCCCATTTTACTGATGAAAAAACTAGGGCTCAAAGTGACTTCTTTGACAGGGACTGCTGTAGACAGGATGTGTTTACTACAAAAAGACATCCAGCAGTCTCTTCTGACGTTCTTGTAGACTAAATAGAAAGATGGGGTATAGATGAAAGTTCTGTTGGATGAACTGAGAGCCTGTTGACTGGATGGAAAGTGTTTTGACGAATGAGTTATTGTAAGCCGGGGGGGAGCCTCTCTCATCGCAGGCATCAGGCGTGGTGCCCTTGGCCTTATTCTTTGCAACATTTTTATTTGTGACTTGAAAAACATGGATAGCCTGCTTATCAGATTTGCAGATGACAGAAAACTAAAATGATAGCTGATGAATAACCTCGCATCCAAGGCTCTAACCTTTAATTGGGCCTTATAAGTACTGCCTCTTGGCATAATCTACCATCCTGTTAAACAGGACTATTCTTTGTTCTCATAACAGGTCCCAGCACTTCTTGTCTCAGGATATTTGCTCGCTACATTCCTATGCTGGGAATGCATTCTCTCCGAAGATAAGCAAAAAAACAAAAATAAGAAAGCCCATGGGCCTTAGAGTTGGGAAAGGCCTTAAAGGTCATATAGTTGAACCCTTTCAGTTTTAAAATGAGGAAACTGAGGTCCAAAGAGTTTAAATGTCCTATAGCAGGGCTAGAAAAAAGTTTTCCCTATTGTCCTGGAAAATATTGAATGCAAAGCTCAGTTTACTCTCCACATTTACAAAAGAAACTTTATCTTTCACAGTGGTTATGTCCAAGCTAGCTGTCCAAAATGTAGCTGAGTTCTAGATGTGTTACTTATCTATACCAGGAATGCTCAAGTTAGCATTTGATATGACTATCACTCATACTGTAATTTAATTAATGTATTGGGAGGTCGCATGGTATAATAGAAAAAACATTGGAGTCAAAAGGCTCGGGGTACCTGTCTTGCCTCTGCCATTTAATACTTATGTGACCTTATCACCTCTTTTTCTTCAGATGTAAAACAGTTAAATGATACTCTAACTTATTGGCGTTTAGTATTAAATGAGATAATGTATATAGTAACAGAGATTTCACATTGTTATATACAACCCTCTTTTCCTATTCTATGTATGAGAAAGTACTCATTTTATTTTGTTTATGTTAAGCTCAGAATTTGAAAAAAAATTTTCTTGGCCAGGCATTTCAGTAAAAAAAAGTTTTTAAAGATGATGTATGTAAAGCACTTTGTAACTGTAAAGCATAATAGGTAAGGTAAATTGCTGGATAAAAGGCCATAGAAACCATCACCAAGCATTTCCAGCTGAACATTTTTGCTTAAGTTGAAAATGAAAACTGCTTACTTTGTTCAGGAAGCTGTTAACTGAGGAGGGAAGGAGCTTTCCAGGGTACGGGAGATAGAATATATTAGGAGTGGAGTATATAAGGAAGAAGGCCAAGCCCCTTCCCTATTTCTATGCATCTCTCTCCTTATTGCCCACTTTCCCAACTATTCCTGCTTTTATTTCTTTTTTTTTTGGGGGGGGGTTAGGCAATGGTGTTAAGTGACTTGCCCAGAGTCACACAGGTAGTAGGTGTCATGTGTCTGAGGTCGCATTTGAATTCAGGTCCTCCTGAATCCAAGGCCAGTGCTCTATCCACTGTGCCACCTAGCTGCCCCCCTGCTTTCATTTCTTCCAAATTTTTATTCATTCCATAAAATTGACTGAAACTTACTATGTGTGATTGAGGCATTGTCTTCTGTACAGTAGCCACAAAGAATGAGACTTTGGTTAGGGTCGTTATTTAGCTTACAATGTTTACAACGCTGCCTCCCCTCAAGTTTTACCCCGCCCCACCCCCCCTGCAGAAGACACTAACATTTTCTGAGTCCCATCCTTCCTGGATAAATGTTTACATACCCCACAAGGCAATTACATCTGATTCCCCTAGTCACAGACTAACTAGGATATAGCCAATCCCTAAAGACTTTCTGGAGTGAGGGGTTATTACTGGCCCTGGAAACTATGAATTAGAGTCAGTAAGCATTGGCAGGCCTGTTCTGACAGGTTTATGACCCCTGTTTTGTGATAATGTCTAAGCAGAAAATGGAAATGTGGTTCTATTATATGGAGGGGTAGGTGTCAAGGAGTGTAGAATTCAGTAATTCTAAATAGATTGAAAACAGGGCAATTTTGTTACTGTCTTGTTAAATTTAATATGTACAATTAAAAAGCAAAATGCATGTAATATAAATTTACAGTTCTGTAAATAATTCCTTTGCAGTTCTTTTAATATTGGATTGTTTCTTTTTGTTAAGTTCATAATTTTTAAAAGAAAGAAAGTAGGAGATTTGGAGCCCTAGATGATCATGATTGCTGGAAGAGTTATGAAAAGTTAGTAAGTTGGTAAGACTAGTGAATTCAGTTCATAAAGAGAGAAAAAAAGGGATAATTTGGTTAAATTTAGGTTAGAGTGCATTGTTGAGGGAATTTCTGAGGGTAGAGTCCAAAAGATCCAGTCAAGCTAAGGTTCAGTTAGTTAAGACGAGAGAAGTTTTGACTTGAAGCCCTGGGAGCTGGACCTAGGGCCTGGACAAAATTGGACATGGCTTCAATTCAGACCAAAGGAACTAAACAACATAGTTGACCTGAGTCTGGGTGGGGAAAGTAGGATAAACTAGTAGTCACTAACCTCTGGTAACTAGGAGTCACTAGGTTTGGAGCTAGAGGACCAGCCAGATACCTAGAAAAGAAAACAGTGCTCATTAAGTAACTTGAAACTTTATATCTGTAACATGTCTAATTCATGTGTCATTCGTAACCAAAAGTCACCTCATGCTGTAAAAGTTTGTGTGTTTGGACTCAATGGATAATTGTACTGTAGTGGACACTGAAAGGGTTTATAGAAAGTTCTTTAGTGAGGAGGACTCCCCTCCACACCCCTTCCCAGGGAGTAGCAGCAATGAAAGGTCATCGTCATCAACTCACTCCGACTGAGCATCTCCTTTCTGCAAGGGCGTCTCCATAGACAGACTAATGCTAAATTGCACTGGTGCCTTTGAGAGGTGGAAGGGACCTCAGAGGCCACCCAGGCCAAGGGATACAGTCACTGACCGAGCTCACCTTTGACCATGCCTTCAACAAGTAGTCATCTGGCCTTTGCTGGAAGACTTTTAGTGAGGGGAAACCTACCACCTCCCCTGGGCAGGCTGTTCCCTTTGAGGAAGCTTTCTTTGTCAGTATTTTTTTTCCTCTAATCAATATAAATCTTTCTCTTTGCATCTGCCACTCACTGGCCAAGTTCAGCCCCCTGAGGTCTAGCAGAACAAGGCCGTCTCCCTCCCTCAGCAGTCTAGTGGGTAAAACACATGTACACAAAAGGACAACTCCAACAGTATTTTGTATGCCTCATTCTCAAGTTGGCCCTGAGTTTTCTTAAGACCTAAGTCAGTGGAGCCCAGTCTGTAGCAGATTCTGTCAACCTGGGAGGTTTTCCCACATGGGCCTGGTGACAGACTATACAACTTTTCCCTGGACCAGCCTAACTAGGTGTAGAGAGGCTCATCCTACAAGAGCTAGCCATCATGGGTTGAATTTCTTCTGCCAAAGCAGCTATTTAAAGATTGTCTAACAAAGGTATATGAGGGACTGTGATTTCCAATATCAATCACAAATTCTTGAAATATTTGTGTATTTATTGTATTCCTCTATTAGATTCTGCATTGAATCCTTGAAAGCAGCAACCATGTCTTTACATACAGTAGGTGTTTAATGTTGTTGAGTCGTTTCAGTCTATTCTGACTCTTCATGACCCCATTTGGAGTTTTGGCAAAAGTACTAGAGTGATTTGCCATTTTCTTTTCCAGCTCATTTTACAGATATGGAAACTAAGGCACACAAGGTTAAGTGACTTGCCTAGGGGCACACAGCTAGGAAGTGTTTGGGACTAGATTTGAACTAATGAAGATGAGTTTTCCAGACTCTAGGCCCAGTGCTCTATCCACTTTGATAACTAGCTGCCCAGATGCTTAATACATGTTTAATAAATGGAATTTTTTGAATTTAGTAATGATACAAGACAGCATATGCCAAATGCTAAAAGACTTCATAGAGAAGGTGAGAATAGAACTAGGCTTTTGAAAGAAGAGCATGACTTAGAAGGGGAGCAAGAAATTCTAGGCAGAAAGAATGGTCTTAAATGCTAGGGTGAGTGGGAATGGGTCCAGTGTGTTTGGTGCAAAACAAGATCAGTTTGGCTGCAGCAGGAAGTGTTTGCTGCTCAAACAAGTTGTGGAGAAGAGCCCAGTGAGGGAGCCTCCTGGGAGGGTGGGGGCGGGAGTGGACGCTTAGTTACCCTGGGCTCTTTCCTTGTGCTTTTTTGGCACCAAAACTCTTTAGTGGAATAGGTGAGGGGAAAAAATGAAGTACCAAAAAATGGGAACGTAAACCCAGGGCCTCATGGAATATGTTGGTGAAAAGACTAAAACCAATTCTAGCCTCCTTTGCAGCTGGTGATTGGCAGCACTAGCAAGGTTACTGTGTTTAGGAGTAGGGAACCTAAGAATGCTCAGTCAGCAAGCCTGAGGGGGAAGTGTCGGTTAGATGGGCCTGAAGTTTTTCCTCATTTCCGATTCTGTAGGATGTGAAGTAAGTTCTCAGAAATAACAGCACTATTTCAAAACTGCAGTGTCATCAGAAGCTTTGAGGGGTGAAATATGCTTGGGGGCTATCACTGGCTCTCTCTTGCAGCCTAGGCTTTTGCCAGCTTCATTTACTCCTAACATGAGCAGCAGAGATGATGGATGAGAGGCCTTATAATGCTCCAGAAACTCAGTTATGACCTTGAAAGGCCAGATCTTAACAATTCTCATTATCAAAAACTATAATAATGATAGCTGACACTTGTGTGGGCTTTAAGGCCCACATTTACATTATCTCATTCAATCCTTACAACAATCCTGTGAGGAGAGTATTACAGGTTTTATTATCCTCCTTTTACAGCTGAGAAAAATGAGTCAGAGAGGCCAAGAGATTTGTAATCCCGCTCATACAACTAGTGTCATGGGCAGGATTTAAATCCTAGGCTCTGCTTGAGGCTAAATCCCCCTGCCCTTTCCAGAGCTTTCCCTGGGTTCTTTCTTCCTTTTTACTTTTTTCTGGCATTTCTATCTCTTCCTCATGATGACATGGCTCCACATGGTTCAGTGAGGTCCTACCCAGCGAGGCCTTTGTCAGCTACCCAGCAAATTGGACAGTGTCAGTTTTCTGTGGCCCTTCCCTTCATTATAGTTCATTAGTGGCTCTCATCAAAAGCTGTGCTTTTCTTCCCATTAATTTTTGTGAGGTTTTTCTTAGTGGTGGAAAATAAAGATGGGTGCAGTAAGTGGCCTGAAAGGATTTTTTTATGCTGCCGAAATGGTGTTTTGTCCTAAGGATAATTCAGAATCTCTAGGAGTAGAGAGATGGGTCCATAAAGGGTGAGAAGTCCTTTGGACTCCTGCTCCCTCTGAAGAGGCCTCTCTACTCTCACCCTTCCTATTGCAAACCAGCTCTTTCCTGGTTCTAGTTAGTTGGTTGCTCTGGATTCTTTCTGGAATTATCCAGGTTACCTTGATGATATTAATTTTTACTTCTATTCCTTTGCAAATCTTATGTGTTTTTCATCTGTGCACCCTATTTCCACTATTACACAGAGATCTGTTAGGCAAAGATGCTGTTTCCTCTTTTCCTACTTCCCTCCTTCTTCCTCTGCCCTCAACCTATCCTGCAGGGCACTGCCCACAGACAGGTTGCTTAATTAACATGTTAATTAATTAGCAAGAGAAAGCCAGTGATAACCCTCCTAGGCATATTTAACCCCCCAAAGCTTCTGATGACATACCAGTTTTGAAATAGTCATATTGATGGACATCCTTAATAGGAAGAATAATGAGACCATAAAAATTACCATACTGGATCAAACCAATGGTCCCTCCAGTCTAGTAGTCTGTCTCTGACCATTTAATTCAATTAGACATTTTCTTAGTGGCACTCTGGGAGATGCAAAGGTGAACAGTACAGTCCCTGTCTTGTAGCATATAATCTACAGGCAGAAATCACAGGGAGAGGCACCATGGCATTGTGGCTAGGGAGAGCAGCTTCACGTTCAGCCTTACCTCTGACACAGTTTGTGTGACCTTGTGCAATCTCTTATCCTCCCAATATCCCCCCACTCAGGGCAACTCTCAAAGACTCCAAGCAGGGGCTGGTCCACACTGATGGAGGAAGTTTTCCTGTGCCAATGAAAGAAAACAAAACCCAAAGTTACACACATGAATAGAATACTGACCAGCATGTGATAAGTGCTGTAACAGAGATTCAGAGGACTGTGGCAGCAAAAGGGAAAGGTTACTTCCCACAGGGGCAAAGAGAGCTGTTTATGCAGTACTTGAAAGTCTATCCACAGTAAGAGAAGGCTTAGAGAAAAAGGTGGCATTTGGGCTGGGCCTTGAAGGAGTAGGGTTTTGATAGGCAGAAATCAATAACAGAAGTAGAAGGGATCCCAGAAGTCATTTAGTCCAGCTTGCACCTAGAAATCCCCTCTACAACATACCCAGAAAGTGGTCATCCAGAAACTGTCAAATCACTTGTCAAAATGCAGAAAAACTATATTTATAACATAACTCTGACAAAGAGTTAGTTTGGCATGGCCCATTCTGGATGATTTGTCTGTGCTGGCTTTTGGTGACCACCATTTCCTTTTCTAAATGTGGCATCTTCCATTTTAATTCAGACACATAAACCTTGTGCTAGAGGCTCACTAGGTATAGCTTAAAGCTGATGATAATGAAGGAATCTGAAACCATCATACTGTGTGCTAAACTGAAAAAAATTGCATTTGTAGTCAGTTCTGATCTTGGAATGCCTGTCAAAGAATGCTTGTTTACTATTTCTGTTTTGAGTCTATTAATACTTGATGGGGCAGAGTTCTGCTGTGTAAAGGATGACCTTTCCTTGCCCTAAAATCTATTTTGAGTTTCAAGGAGTATCCCCTAATTTTCATGTTTTAGGATTTGGTGAATAAATTCTCTGCTCCTTCTACCACCATGATTCATAGGGATCAGTCACATCTAAAGCAACTATACACCTTAGATTTTCTGGGACACTTCCAACTTTTGAGATAAGAAAATGTGATTTTAATGAAACTTTGCAAAAATGAATTTGCTTTGCCAGACCACGCATGCGTTATAATTTGTGGTTCTAAAAAGATGGTCACCATAACTATATTGTCTCACTGCTCAGATATAGTCTCATATAGCTCCTAGAATAATCTTTCTTATGCATAGGATTATGGAATTTAAAATTAAAGGGTCCTTACAGAATATCTAGTTCAACCTGGTGTTCATCTCCTAGATGGAGAAATTAAGGCCTAGATATGAAGTGACTAGTGCATAGCAAATTTAAGTGAAAGAGCCACAGTTTGAACCCAGATCCTCTAATTACAAATCCAGTTCTTTCATGTCGCTCTTCTGACCTTTGACATTTGAAGACCTCTAAATCTAGAATTCCTATCTCACCAGTCATCTTTTATTATTCTCCACACATAGACACTATACTCATACTTTTCTAGTTTCTGCCTCCTGAGTATGTTTTGTGATCTCCCCCCCAACCTTTGTTCATTCTGTCCCTTATGCCTGGAATGTACTCTCTCCCCTTCCTCACTTAGTGAATTCCTACCCATCCTTTAAAGTAAAGGTGTCAAACATGCACTTAAGCCAGATTAAAATGTAATTGGGAAATATTTAATAAAATAAATACATAATAAATATAGACAATATCATATTTTAAAACTAAGTTATTATATGGCCTAGAGGTATCTTTACATACAGGTTACTGGCTTCTGTTTGCATTTGGGTTTGATGCCACTTCTTGAAATCTTAATACCGTCCTCCATGAAGTCTTCTCTGACGCTCCACCTGTGGTAAAAGCCAACCTCAGGTGTGTTTTTCACACACACACACACACACACACACACACACACACACGCAATAAAGTTGAAAGAGGCAGCTTAGTATAGTGAATTGGGAGCTGGCCTTGGAATTAGGAAGACCTAGGTTTGAGTCCTCTGTATGATTGTGTGACCCTGGACATGTTACCTAACCTTGTAGTGCCTTAGGAAATGTTCTAAGACCTCAGACTGCAGAACAGTTGTTGATCTGCACTGGTAGAAGGAATTTCCTCACTATGAGTTTCTTACAACAATGAAATCACAGCTCCATACATCCCAGCCCCCTCAAAAAAATTTTTATCATGCAAGTTAATATGAGTTACACTCTGTATATTAAAGGACACCATAAATGTTTGTTTTATCTATTAAGCTACATGAATCTTTTACAAATTCTTTATTTCCCACACTGCTTTATAAATGTTTATAGTATCAACTATACTGAACTGGCCTCTAACCTGTGGATGGTTGGAGCTGAACAGAGCAGACTAGAGACAAGAGAGTCAGGAATTAATCAGAAGTTTAATTTCAAAGTGAGAGAAATGGCTTGCAAGCAAGGAGGGATATAGGCATACATGCCGGGGCTCTGCCCCTAGTGGGGGGACCCTGCTTTAGTGTGTCCAAATCTCAGTCCTTATACTGGTGGCTGCTCAACGAGATGTAACCTTGACAATGAATGGTAACAGCAACAATGTGACAAGTTTGATTCATAGTAGGGCTTCATGACCAGAACTTGGATATGGCAGGTATTTATCCGAGCTGATCCAACACCTGGTGCTGGTCAAAGCAATGTAATAATTGTTTGAAACAACTCTGGAGTTTTGCTGTGGCTGAAATCATCTAGAGGGTGAACACAAAGGATTGTTGTTATGCCAGGCTCAGGGTACAGCTTGCTTGCTGGACCTTAGCTTGGAAAACAGGGTGTCTCCTAATATCTTGACAGTAGAAAGGGAAGGGGGAAAAGGAATGGGAAAGAAAAGGAAAGGGAAGGCAAGGCAAGGGAAGGTTTTGTTATTGTTAACATTTGACCTAGTTTAATGCTGATTTCTGACCTTTGCTCCAGTGAGATAATAGAATGACCCAACATAGCCAGCTAATTCCAGAATGGCTCCCACATGTTTAACCAGTCATTTCCTGTCTGTTAGGATACTATCAGTTGTTTAGTACTTACCACATCTAGCACTTTCTAGCTCCTTCCTAGAAAAATGAATTGATGGGGCAGCTAGGTGGTGCAGTGGATAGAGCACCGGCCCTGGATTCAGGAGGACCTGAGTTCAAATCCAGCCTCAGACACATAATACTTACTAGCTGTGTGACCCTGGGCAAGTCACTTAACCCCATTGCCTAGCCAAAAAAAAGAAAAAAGAAAAATGAATTGATGATACCTAGGCAGGAAGCTTCTGAATAGTCAAAAGACCTTTGTCTTCCTATTACTTAATCCTAAACAGTATTTTAGCACATCTTGCTGCCCTTTCCTATATCTACCATCATATTGAAATCACCAAGCATCAGTGTATATATTGATGTGATTTGCAGGATTTTAAGTTCTTCACAGACTTTTTATACTTTCTCATTTCTACAACAGCTATTTGCTATAAAAACTACAATTATCTTCATGGTATTTTCTTTGTGTTTAGGCTATATATACATACATACATACATACATATATATATATATATATATATATATATATATATATAGTTTCATTTATTAATAGAATGTCCACATGGATGTAATTATTTTCCTTCGATATTTTATTGCACTGGTCATTGGACAAGGATCTCACATTTAGGGTATCAGCAGTAAAAGTAATAGATTGTCTAAAATCTATGGTGATTTTTAGCATTCTCTCTCTATCTCATTTTCCATGGCTCTGGTCATTGTCACTAACGAAGTAGTAGGGGGAAACAAGATTAAGGATCATTTTGCATTATTCTTTTTTTAATGGATTATAAAGACTAAAGAATATATTCCCTTCTGACCAATTTAGTGGTTGATGAGGTTTTTCCATACCCATGTGATCTTTTTGGTTCAGTACTGTCTTCCTTAAGCACACATAGAAACAGCATGTCACTACATTAATTATCCAGCGAAGGGTTTTAATTAGCCTAGTGCTATATTGCTATATTAGAAGACACCAGTCCAGGCTTTTTCAGTCACTCTAGCACATACTTGCTGGCCACCACAGATTGCTCAAGCCTACAAATGGTCCCATTCCCCTAACCCTTGACATACTTTTCTTCAGCATTTGATTCTAAGCAGCAGGGTTCATCTTAAACTCTCACTGGCCAGGTTCCACTTTAGGAGAAGAAATGAGATATTGCTCAAATGTTAAAATACAAAATTCACTATCTCAGAGCTGCTACCTTACAGGAATCTTCTAACCTCTCAGGTCACTTCCCATGATGTGCATAGATTTAAACTCTTAGAATGTTGTGATCACATAGTGTATTGTACATAAAGTGAAAAAGGAACTAGTCCAGACACTGTCAGGAGAAAGAATTGCTACCCACCAACTCCCTTTACTTCTGGTGGAAATGCTCAACATTTCTGTTCCCTCTGTCTCCTATGAATCATTTGCTGTATGCTCAAGTCTCTACACAAAGATTAAAAGAAAGATCAGAGGCACTAGGCTACATTTAGGCTGGTAGTAGATGTAATTTAGTCTTGAGAACACACGGAAATTAATATGGCTAATAACTATTCCCTACTCTTAACCATTGTGCTATAACCATCACCACAAGGTTGGCAAAAAAGGCCAGAAATCATATCAGCCAGCAAATATTGATCACCTTGTCATATGGTCATCGAGGCACATCAGATTATAACATAAAGTAATTTGTAGGCCTTACGGAGATGTTGGTGAAAGATTATGAGCAATAACATCTCATAATATATCAGAATTGTTTGGTATAGAATGAATCTGGAGAGCATTTAGAAATGAAATCAGGAAAAAAACAAACAGATGAAAAATAGAATGAACCTGCCAGCATGTCTATAATAGCCTGTTTTCGTGATTTAGGACAATGGAATCATCAGAGCTGGACTAATATCTAAGTCCTTGAAGTATTAGACACAGAAATGACATTTAAGAAAAAGAAGCCAGGATGGGCAGCAAGACTAGACCATCTGCTTACTCCAATATATCTGATGTGGGTACTCCAGATCACAAATCTATCTACTCCTTTTCATCTTGTAACTCTTATCCAGGTCTGCTTACAAATCTTCCAGAGAGGTCCTTAAAAGTTTAGGGTTTTGGATGTATCGGGGGATGTTTTGTGGGAGAGAACATGGTCCAGATCTCTTGACATAGCATGAACACTAAAAGAGCACAAAGACTGTTAACACAAGTTGTGTCTTGCTATCGCCATATAACCAGTCCATTTTTTCCAGTCATGCCTTTTCATGACATCATCCTTTGCTTCTACATAATTCTTCTTTGTTAATATCTAGCAATCTACTCCACCCACCATACACCTCTCCTTTGCCCTTGCAGTGACTCAAATGGATTATTTGACCTTTTAACTTTATTTCTTCTGAAACTACAGTTATTTCATGAATCACCACCATACAACATTAAGACAGAGAAGGATCAACTGTCAAGCTATCTAAAAGATAATCTAAACAATTGGGGAAAATCATGAACGGTAATAGTATCAAGAAAATGTAATCATATCTTTAAAATTTTATGAGAATAATTTGAGGGCATCCTTAATGAAACTAGGAGGAGACAGGTTTTTTCATTTTCTAAAACATACATCTCACCAGTAATTTGATTGACTGAAAGGTACAGACAAAACAAGATCGAATTTTGTTTATTGACTAACCTCCCCCAAAAAAAAGACTCAGTAAAGCAAAATGAGGCTTTAAAGATGTTCTTCCAACAAAATGTCTTATGTTTATATTAAGACTATAAAAGATTCCTAGACAGATGCACCACAGAGATAACTTTGTTCAATAATCTTCTATTTATCAACGTCAAATACAATATAAAATGGGGGGAGGGAAGGTGTATACTTGCCAACAGTGTTTACCTCTGTCATAGAGAATGGCCAGTGCAGAAGCCAAATGGCTGTGTTGAGGCTGAGGTTCTCCAGATACTCCTGTTTACAGGTGACACTGTGCTGACTACATAAAGCCCAGGAGCACTACAGGGTCTCCACCCCACATGAAAGGCAGAATGGAAGAGTGAAATGAAAAATGGCTTTGGAATCAGAGGATCTGGGTTCAAATCCAGGCTCTCCACTTAGTAATAATATTATTAATAATTTACATGGTACTTTAAGATTTACAAAGTACTTTACACATATGTGTGTTACATATGCATATATGTATATTACATACATATATACCACTTACATTTGTGATCCCAGACAAATCACTTAATTTTTCGGGGTCTTAGTTTCCTCATCTGTAAAATGAATGATGTGGTCCAGATGACCCCAAAGGCCTTTTCCAGCTCTAACTCTATGATCCTAAATTCATGACAATGACAATGAGATGAGTCTGACAGTTTATTAGTACATCTGTCTTGGACAGGGAACTGAATAGAAGGGCACAGAATGGAACAGGAGGAAGAGCGCAGTTTGGAACGCATTTAGGAAGCTCTAGTGCTTTCAGTTATCCCCAGCTGCTCTCTAACACGCAAATCTATCTTTTTAACACATATTCTTCTGATGATGCTGTACAGCTTAGAAACATGGAATCCCAAAATCCTTA